CTTCAGAAAACACTCTAATATGATGATTTGATGCTCAAGAAACATTTCTGATTATTATCAATGTTGAAGACAGTTGAGCTGCTTCAGATTATAGTGGAAACCACGATAATTGATTTTCAGGATTATACGATTAATATTTTAAATTTAATTGTTGTAGTAACACGAAAATGCATTCACTTTCACTTATGATCATTTTAATGTATCCTTGCTGAATAAAAGTGTTAATTTCTAAAAAAAAAAAAATACATATATACATATATAATATACACACACACACTGATAAATCCAAACACAGTGTTTCATACCCTCTTTTGTCACTCCAGGCCCCCTCCCACTCAGCTTTGCCCCACGGGTTCCTGATCCGCACCAGCTCAACTGGACCGATTGTACTCTTGATCTGAAACACACAAACCAAACTCAGCTGTGATGTTCTTGGGTTTCCCTTCCAGCTTTTTGAGGTGTATTCTGACCTCATGGCCATTAGAGGGCGCTATGGTACACACACAGACACACACACACCATTTCAATTATTTAGACACTATGAGAGAAATATTTGCACACTTACATCCAGACTATTTTCAGTTTAATATTATGCACATAGGCCTACCTTAAATCCAACACTCTTAGTAGAAATGGTTCTATTTAGAACCACAAATGGTTCCATCCCCCGCTTCATATATGGAACTCCAAACGGGTTCTATATAGAACCTTTTTTTTTTAAAAGGTTCTATTGGCCAAGTACAGAACCCCAGGGTTCTATATAGAACCCAGAGGAACCATTTTTTTAAGAGTGTATAGAAACTTTTAGGGCCTCCAAATACGTAGCGCTGATAGAACCTTTTCTTCTAAGAGTGAATAGTCTGCACATGTATTCACTAGTATGTTGCAGGGTTTAAAATACGTTGCATATTCAGAAACACTATTGGATGAGAAGAAAACTTTGAACTGTATAAAGCTGGAGGATTACACTAACTTTGCAACATCGAAACTGTTGCAATTGAACTGAACTGAATCAACATTGAACTAAATCGAGTAGAATAATGACACTTATTCTGTAGAGCTGCTTTACAACTGAAATTGAATTGGTTTAATAAATTATGAATTTTGCTAAACGAACACGGATGTTTACTATTGTGAAGCTGATTTGAAACAATGCATTATTAATATTTGACATACAGTCTTAATGTTGAGCCAATGATCTCAAGAACGTCAGAACGTCCTTAGATTTAATAAATATTTGCTTCATGGTTTTGTAATGTTAACAGAAACATTAAGACAATGTTCATGGAATATATTATGTTGGGTTATTATGTCACATAACCTTTTGGGAGAAAACATTTTTGATCATTATTCTCAGAAAGTCCTTTAATCATTAGAAGGATAATGTCTATAATCTTATTACAAACAATAGAACATTCTCATAATGTTTTCAATATTAAAGAATGGGAATGTTCCTTTAATGTTCAGATCACCATTCTTTCTGGCCATTTCACATTAAAACTGGCCATTTTAAAGGCATAAAAACATCCAGAAATAACCTTTTTCATAACTGAATTTTATCAAAACGTTTTTAGAAAATGTTTCGGATTGATAAGAGTATGTGAACTGGGACACAACATGTATATACTGGATACTAACGGCACTCCAGACATGCTCTGTTGTTCTTTAAGATGATGGCGCCCTCTAGTGGAACTCTGAGTATTATGTAAATTAATTTGTTAAAAAAAAAAAAAACGAAAAAATATACTTTTTTATACTTGTAACTATCATCATAACTATCATCATGTAACATAACATCACGCGGGCCGTCCCTATAAAGTTACCTGTATTTTTTTAAAGCTATTATTACTTATTACTTGCAGCATGATTGATATTAATTAGAATGCACAATAAAAAAAATTAGGGCTGTCAAATGATTAATCATATCCAAAATAAAAGTTTGTGTTTACATAATAATATATGTGGGTGCACTGTGTATAATTATTTTGTATATATATATATATATATATATATATAAATACAAATACACATGCATGTATATTTAAGAAAAAAATATTAATATATAAAATATTTATACATACTATAAATTTTATATAATTCTATAGAAAGTATATGCATGAAAATATTTCTTAAATATATAAAAGCATGTGTGTGTATTTATATATAAAAAATAATTATACACAGTGCACCCACATATATTATGTAAACACAAACTTTTATTTTGGATGCAATTAATCACGATTAATCGTTTGACAGCCCTAAAAAATGTATGAAAATGAACTAGAACAGTTTTCTGTTTTTGCAAATGGACTCTTCTGTTGTAAATGTCCTAATTGGGAGAGGGTGTGCAATAATAAAAATGCATTTTGGTTGCATTTGTGAGTTGATAAAAATGTAACTGGTTGTGTAAACTTGGCACAAATTTTCGAAATATCGATAAATCACTCGATATAGCCTTGAATCGAATCGGATAATCGCAGAATTTTTTGAGGTATTCCCCTAGTATGTGCAATTCCAGAGATATTCTAGATCTTTAAGCTGATGGCGCCCTCTGGGGGAACTCTGAGAGTTAAAAAACACTGATGAAACATACAAGAGCAGGTTTGACAAAGAGAGAGAGAATCAAGGTAAGCATTTCCCCCTCACCGTCTCCAGGCCTGTCACAGAATAGGCATGTCTAAACAAAATCCCAAACTCATTGCTCTTCTCAAGGGGACCCTGCACAAAGACAAAGAGACACGACAATAGATTACCTTCACAAAACAACAGCTGTCAGAGAAAAAACACCTTCCTGGAACTCAAGAAAGATCCTTTTACCCAGAACACAACAAAGAAAGAAGACGACCCGCACACACGGCAAAGTGACACTTGCTCGCTCTACTGTCTCCTGTGAGCATTGTTGTTATGATTTTATAACTTTATGCAATGTTAAAAATGTGGGCTGCTGTTTGAGAGGTTGCAGGTTCGAACATGCAAGTTTTGATTAGTGAGCTGTAAGTAATAAGCCCTTAAGCTGGAAACCACAGGTAACTTGAGGCGTATGAAACTAATTTAAAAAAGTAATTTAATATGGCAACGCCACTTACATAAATTCCAGCAGAGATGATAAATAAATGATCTGTTCTGTTCTTTCATTATTTCTTGTACATAACCATTCAAATGATTTTTGTAAAACATTTTTAGCAAGCATGCATTATCAAAAGTGTACGGAGGCGTATTGCATTCACTTGAAGAAAAAAAATCTACTCTGTTTTTCTGAATTAACGAGTTAATTTTTCATGAGAAAAAAACATTTTTGCTCTGTTTTTCTAAATTAACGAGTTAATTTTTAATGGAATTTTATTTTTTTGCTCTGTTTTTCTGAATTAATGAGTTAATTCAGAAAACAGCAAAAATACATTTTCTCATGAAAAATTTACTCATTAATTCAGAAAAACAGAGCAAAAACTTTTTTCTCAAGAAAAACTAACTCATTAATTCAGAAAAACAGAGTACATTTTTTTTCTCATGAAAAATTAACTCATTAATTCAGAAAAACAGAGCAAAAAACTTTTTTCTCATGAAAAATTAACTCATTAATTCAGAAAAACAGAGCAAAAACTTTTTTTCTCATGAAAAATTAACTCATTAATTCAGAAAAACAGAGCAAAAAATTTTTTTCTCATGAAAAATTAACTTGTTAATTCAGAAAAACAGAGCAAAAAAAATTCTCATGAAAAATTAACTCATTAATTCAGAAAAACAGAGTAGATTTTTTTTCTCATGAAAAATTAACTCGTTAATTCAGAAAAACAGAGCAAAAAAAATTCTCATGAAAAATTAACTCATTAATTCAGAAAAACAGAGCAATTTTTTTTCTCATGAAAAATTAACTCGTTAATTCAGAAAAACAGAGTAGATTTTTTTTTCTTCAAGTGAATGCAATACGCCTCAAGTGACATTGACAAGGGACAAGATTTCTATTCCAAAATAAATTCAAAAAAATTTTCCCAAAAATTCTTATGAAATATCTCTTTAAATAAGACATGTGAAGAGTGTAAACCTGTGAGTTAGCACAGTTGATCAGAGCTCCTTTCTCCAGCAGGGAACGCAGGAACGTGCCCAGCGCCCGAGGGAGAGACGCACACATGAAGACCTCCGTGATCCCTCCTGTCATGTCCACCATCGCCTCGTGAGGGAAACCCATGTTCAGAGCGTTATAGCCACCCTTCATCCTCACAAACAGGTGAAAAGACGTTGTGAGCATCAGACAAAAGCAGTTTATGTACATGCAGAATGTGCAAAGTACTTTGGACACTAATAATACTCTTCAAAAGTTTGGATATTTATAACGTTACAAAATTTCTGTAAATAAAAAAATTTCTGTAAATAATTTCCAATAAATGCTATTCTATTTATCACAGAATCCTGAAAATGTACCATGGTGTCTACAAAAAAATATGAAGCACCACGACTGTTTTAAACATTGACTATAATAAGAAATGTTTCTTGAGCAGCAAATCTAATTATTTCTGAAGAATCACGTGACACCGAAGACTGGAGTAATAGATCTTAGTCAGAGTAGTGCCATATTTAAATTTTGACGAATGAAAGCTAGGCTGTGAGGGATAGATACATTTAGTTGTACTGTATCTTTCAACACAGTGTCTGATGTTTATTTGGTGCCATAATTAGGAAAGAAGGAGAGATTATCGTTTACATGCCGCTGGAACTGAACGGCGATCTGTCACGACACATTAAAGAGAGACAAAACTGTATTTATTGTTTGATTTTTTTGGGCATAATTTGACAGCTGAGTATTTGTTTCATATGAAAAGTAACAAAGAAGAAAGCTTATTGCAAAAATTAGATGGGAGGCAAAAAAAGAGAGAAAAATTAGATGGGAGGCGCGCCACAAAAAAAGTGTGCATCAACTGAAAACAGCATCGACTAAAAGATTGATCTTGGGATTTAATATTTCAGCCAAAATAATTATTTTATTTTATTTTTTATTTTTTTTCTTCTGTTTCTGCTGAATATTTCGGGATGCGTGAATTTTATTTACATTTACAATTGACCTTTCGCCGGCCCCTCCCACAAAATGGCCATTGTCCAATCACACATCATAGCAACCGTTACTGTGTGAGCTGTTCCGTCAAACAGTAAAGGCCAATTTATACTTCTGCGTCGAGGGTACGCCGTTGTGAACGGCGTTGGCTACGCACGTAGGCGACGCCTTTGTGAGCATTTATACTTCTGCGTTCAGGTCTTGGTTGCTCTGCAGTACTGCTCCGAAACGCTAGTTGGCGGCGGAGGGTTTTAATGTTCCACTGTTTACATTGCCCGAGTTGCGACTAGGTTACTACAAGCCTGAATGAGAGCGGATCATGTTGGAGTTGGAGCTTATTGAGGTGGAAAAACAGTTAATTTTAGTGAAATTACTAAAACTGAAAGGCAGAAATGAGAGAAGACGTCGGAGGAGATGGTACGTGCGGAAATGTGTAGGAGGAAATGCGATGCTACCAAGCCGTCGTCGCGACGTGTAGTTACATTTTTGAAGGCCAATTTATACTTCTGCGTAGGGTGCGCGCAGTAGGTACGGCGTAGCATACGCACAGACGCGTCCCATTGCGCGTACCCTTCGCCGTCGCCTGACGCGCACCTCCTCAAAAATGTAACTACACGTCGCGACGACGCGGACCGCAAGATCGGTGATTGGTCGGCTTGGTAGCATCGCATTTCCTCCTACGCATTTCCGCACGTACCTTCTCACGCATTTTCACCACTGTCTATGATTTCCACACGTACCATCTCCTCCGACGTCTTCTCTCATTTCTGCCTTTCAGTTTTAGTAATTTCACTAAAGTGAACTGTTTTTCCACCTCAATAAGCTCCAACTCCAACATGATCAGCTCTCTTTCAATCGCTATTGCTTGTAGTAACCTAGCCGCGAGGAATCTAAACACATTAAAACTCTCCGCCGCCAACTAGCGTTTCGGAGCATTACTGCAGAGCAACCAAGACCTGAACGCAGAAGTATAAATGCTCATAACGGCGTCGCCTACGTGCGTAGCCAACGCCGCACATTACGGCGTACCCTCGACGCAGAAGTATAAATTGGCCTTGAGGAGGTGCGCGTCAGGCTACGGCGAAGGGTACGCGGTATGGGACGCGTCTCTGCGTATGCTACGCCGTACCTACTGCGCGCACCCTACGCAGAAGTATAAATTGGCCTTAAGCGGTGCGCCCACGGCGTTAGTAAATCGGACACATGATACCCGAGAGATTGTCTGGAGAAGTTGTGTTTTTTCCCTTTCCAAAGCCCAAAACACAACGCGAGCGGTGCCTAAGATGTATTAAACAGTGTGGACGCCCCAATTCCAGTTAAATGTGTCGAACATGGTTAACTCGTCTCGCGTGCAGCGTGCGTGCGACTGAGATTAGTCAAAGAAGCACGGAGAAAGCAGATCAAGAGGATCCACAAAGGACTTACTGTACATTTTCTAAAGGGTTGTTGTTAACATACCATGATATTCTCTGGGAAAATGAGCAGCAGTCAGCTAAGTTAGCAGTGCAGCACCGTAGACTACAGTTTAGAGGACGTTCGCAACGGGGAAAGCATGAAGCTTACATGACAACATCAGTTCATATATCAATATCGTAACGAATAGAAATAACCTTAAATAACGTATGGTTCTCTGCCTCTTTCCGTCTCTTATGCATAATGTTAGTTACTTTTTAAACACGAAAATCGCATTCAGCATGAGGATGACACGCAATCGGTTGCTGTGGTAATGAACAACCTGCTTGTTAAAGCGAACGTGTACTCCTGTATCGGAGGCAAAATGAATAAATATGCAGCGCAAGTTATATATTTCGAACTCCAAACAATTAGCCACTGAACCAGTTTATAAAATCTTCAAGGCTGTGCTGGTTGCATTTGAGGTAACTTAGCATGGTCATGGGGTTTTTCTGATTTTTCTTGAGACTGGTAAGCATTAGCATCAATAGTAGTCGTGTCTCATTCATTTCTTAATTTTATATTTGGAATAAATCCCTCCACCGCATACCGTAACCCCTTTTGCTTCGATCTTGCTTGATATCGCGGAGGTATTGCTCCAAAAAAGGTCACCGACACGCACGGGAATACCCTTTGCCGTCAGCAATCTGTCGCGCTGCCCGTGTTTGACCATTTGTTTGACGGAGGTAGCAGCAGTAACTAAGGGGGGCGGGGCTCGGCGAAAGGCTAATTAACTATTTCCCCACCATTGATGGAAATTTAAGACTTTTGTGAAACTATTAACTCTTTCCCCGCCATTGATGGAAATTTAAAGGAGAACTCCGGCGCAAAATGAACCTTTGGTCTAATTACACATTGGTACCTAGTTAACCGTTCTCTCGGAATTGTTTTCATGATAACTGAATGTAAAGAGTTTTATCTTTAAAAACGGTTTAGCGAATACGCTAGTATATGGGGGCATATAATAAGTAAAAAGAATCGCTAGTTTATACCACTAACAAGGCTCAAAATAGCCCCACACTAACACAGTAACATTATGAGGGTCCGTACATGCAAAACGAAGCATTGAGAACTGTGTAAGTGTACAGACCATTTAAGAAGAAGATATTTTATAAAGTCAAACTCAACTCGTATACTAAACGAAGAGTTACATTCAAGCTATTTTAAGGCATGAAGAAATTGTTTTTTTTATGGAAAAAAGTTTAAATGTGTAATTTTGGTGATCAAAGATTAGTTCGGGGTTAAAATGATTGTCTACAGAGGGACTTTAAGGCACTTTTATGTGTTACTGACTTGGCATAAGCCTTCTCCAGCAAAGCGCTCCAGAATTCCTCTCTGTTTGATGAATGTAGATAGATCAGCTGACCGTTGCGTGTGGGCAAGCGGTCGTCGACTCGCACCCGATTCCACTCACCATACTGCCAAAACTAGACAAACAGAGAGACGCCATTAGAGCCATCATAGCCGCTTTATTGAGTGCAGTAACACACACCACTCACCTGAAAATAGAAGCAGCCATTGTAGCCCTTCTGAAAACCCTGGCCTGAGGGAACGACGCGATCCATAAGGGAAGGGTAGAGAGAGAGAGACGCCACGGCAGACAAGAACCAACAATCACCTGAGAGAGAGAGAGAGTTAAAGCATCTTAAACCATGTTAAAACAAGTTTTAGCTCTAATTTGCTTATAAATGATCATTTGATCATAGTATCTATGTGGTAAAAAAGCTTCAGGACATGGACGTTCGGTGACAGCACAGGACCGAAATTGTTAATCATGCTAAAGTAAACAGAAATAATCATAAAAATCAAACATTTAAATTGATTATTAAGAAAAAAGAATAACTATACTACAATAACACTCTCAACTGATGTATTTGAGACCCAAATTTAGATCAAAATTTGCACACAATCTGATTTTTAGAAGTAAAAGCCCATTTAGTATCATTGTAAAAATGTCCACCTTCAGCTAATGATGCACTGTAAAAAAAAAAAGTGTTGGTTTAACTTAAAAAAGTAAGTTACCTGAAGTTGATTGAACTGGAAAAAGTGAGTTAATACAATGAAGGAGATTGATTTAACCATCAGAAACTCAAAATAATAAGTTATCTGAACTAAATAAATTATTTAAGATGATTTGACAAAAGAAAAAATGTTGTGATAACAAATCTTGAAAATACTTTTTTTTTTTTACAGTGTGGTGGTTCAGGTTGTTTTTGGTCGCTTTACTGATTTTATAAAGTAAATCAACTTTTTTGTTGTTAGTAATATTTCAAGATGGACACTAACTGGACTGAAGCAACTTTTGAAAACTAGAAGCATTTAAATATAATCTTACTAAGACATATTGTTGGCAGAGATATGACGACTAAAATATGTATTTTATGTCAGTAGTAGTTAATACTGTTATGAAGATCTGATTGATTCACAAACATCATAATTTCATCTTACTTTCTGTCCATATAAATATCAGCTAAAAATGCATATTTTGCTCAGTTTGGGCCTCTGAATAAAACTGAGCTGTTTTTTCCTCCCTCGATTTGATCTCCATATTCTCACTATATCATATGTGCTATAAAAGCCTGATGGATAAAATATGAGACACTCACCAAAAACACATGCACTTTTTATATATATTTTATTTCAATAAACTGTTTCATTTCAAACTTTTTTCTTTTTTTCTCGCTTATTTCATATGTCCGACATTAGAGTGGTATTTTCTTTTATCTTGTGTTATTTTATTCATGATTTTGAGGATGGGGGTGTCATGCAACATGCCCACGTTGGGATTTGTCTAATTTGACGAGCTTCTACCAAGTGACAGAATGAAGAGTTTGATTTGATGCATGACTTTTGACCTTAAAGGGATATTTCACCCAAAAAGGAAATGTTGTCAATCATTTCCTCACCCTCAAGTTGTTCCTAACCTGAGCAAATTTCTTTGTTCTGTTGAACACAAAAGATTAAATTTTAAACAATGTATCTGAAAGAACCAGACAGTTGAGTTAAACGGACCCCATTGACTTCCATAGTATGACTTCCGTCAACCGTGTTACCAACATTCTTTAAAATATCTTATTTTTTGTTTAACAAAACAAAGAAACTCGTAGAATGACACGTCTCAAAAACACTGTTTTAAATCGCTGGTGTTTCTGACATCCCAAACTACCTTGTAACCAATCAGGTCAACGTGTGATCGACAGCGAGTGGATCTCTGAGCTGAGTGAGTGAGTGGAGGTGGGGCTCATTTGCATATTCATAGAACCGCGTATACTAAATGAGGCAAGGGTGTATTGTTACATTCGATCTATATTAAGGCATAAAGTAATTTTTTCCAAGGAAAAAACAGCCTTCCCGGAAGTGCGAAAAACTGCAATACATTGAAAATCCAGTAGGGGCCGGTCCCAAAAGGGAGCAAACGTCAATAGACACCCATGTTAAAATGTCCGTTTTCACAGCATAAATTCATATGTTTACAGTTTGGTCCCATGGACTTTTATTGTATTTTTCGATAGGTTCCGAGTGCCTGACAACTGTGAGGGGGGGCGATTTTTTTCTAACTCGTTAGTTTAGATCGTATTTAGATATAAAATGTATGACAAATAAGGGCATGGTGGTTGACTGTATCGAGTGGAATTCCTGAAATTTGACGTCTCGGCCATGATCTGACACATTGCATCATACCACCTCTATCCTTTCTGATCATTTGTATTGAAATATCGTACATTGCTCTGCTATAAACTGCACTAACCGACACTGTAGGAGGACTTCGCTACATTTTTTTTCCGGTAAGTGGCATTCCACTACTATTTCACGTAGTTAGCATCAATGTTTGTGGGGAGTGGCACTACAACAGTTAGCTTTAAATCGCATCAGATAAGTTAGCGTCCGAGGTACTTTACCTATGGTTACGTTTGAGACACTGTAAATGCGTCTGCCAAATGAATAAATGTATAAGAATAGACTGATATGTCCCACGTTAAGGTGTTCTTCAGAGGCTTTGCAGTGAACGTAGCAGTGATAGACTGTAAAAACTGGCCTAGTCTGCCAGTCGATCTTGTGGCGTTACAGATAGCTGAAGAGGCGTGTCCACCGCCCTTTTACCCATATATGGATTGGCCAGAAGGTGGGCGGGGTTAGGATTTCCCAAGATTTTCAAAAGATGGTGCCGCCCATACCCCCATAAACGGCCACAAAACTGTTCTTCAGAAAGTCTATGGATGACGTCACAGACGCTTTGTCCATATTTTTTTTTACAGTCTATGGTTTTAAGGGATAAAATGATTCACTACAGTGGGACTTCAACAACAAAAGATATAGGAAGTGTTGCACTGTATTATTTAGCTTTCTGTGATCCTCAGAAAAGATCTGCAACCCACCAGGTGACAAAATCACAGCTATTTGCTAAACACTAAAGCTTTTTGGTGCCACAACATGTTGCTTACACGAGAACCTGCAAAAACCTGCAGCACCAGTGTTTTCTTAATGCAAATTCTTATCGTTTAAATGGTTGAGGATTAAGATCTCACTCAGAACTCCCTGGCAGACGTCCATGCGTGTGGCTCCATCCACAATAAACTGGGGAAACGGACATATCTCCTGGAAAAGAGAGGACAAAACACAAAGGATCGTTTAGCATCAAAGGATTTTTAGGAAAAAGAATGACTGCACAGAGTTTATAAATATTTTTTTGGAATGACAGAATTATGTAATTTTACTCATGTCACTTCAAACAAAATATAGCTGTGAAGAATTACAAAACATGAGAACCAATGAGCACTAAAGTTAAAATCAACTTTAAAATGATTCTGTAATGTAAATATAAAATAAAGCTATGTATCATATGACTTCAGAACACTTAGAATATAATGCATAAGTCAAACTGATTACTTTTATGATATTTTATGGTGCTGTTGGCGACGGTGGTGTGTGTGTGTGTGTGTGTGTGTTGGGGGGTACTTTCATAAATGGATGATGTTTGGAATGACTTAAAAAAAAAAACAGTTCCAAGTTTTACAAGTTTATGCCATTTTTAAATATTTTTAGAATTTCTTGTAACACTTAACACTTACAATAAGTTTCCATCTGTTTGCAATAGTGAATATGACCCAACAATGAAAATACTTCTAAATCATTTATTATTAATGTTAAGTTAATTTCATCATATATACATCATTAAAATCAAAAGTTGTATCTGTTATTATTTAACGAACCTGAGCGAACATTAACAAACAACAAACTGTATTTTTATTAACGAACTTCAACAAATGTGCTGCGCATTGCAACTTAATGTTAATATATAGGACTTGTGAAGTGTAAAGGACCCAGAAGCCACTGATCTGAGGAACCTACACAAAAGAAAGGATCTTTATGAGAAGAAAGTTATTTTTTTGAACCAAGGTAAACTGAAGAGCAGCAATAGAAATATTACAGTTGAGGAATATCATTTCAAACATGCAATTTTTAAACATTTTCTTCCTTGAAGAAGGGGGAGCAGCTGCTCGCCAGACACAAGCCTGGACAGATCTTCACTCAAACATACTCGAGTCCATGACATTTCAATGAAACACCCCCTTAGTTTCACACATCTTGCTTTTATATGCAGCAGTTTGGCGTAAAAACATTTTTGAGATTAGGAGAGTTAGCTCCAGAGGGACTGATTTTAAAGTGTCTGCTAAATTACTAATTTATTTTACTTTAAAACAGGGTTCCCCAAATCCATCTTTGGCTCAAACCCTGATCAAACCCCAATTTTCATTTTACTTGAGGCCTTCCAGCATCTATACAAACCTTACAGCAATAAGAGAGACCCAACAAAACAAATGCTAAATGCCATTAGATGTT